TCATATTGCATATATTATTACACTAGGAGTCGAAATCGGTTTTGTTCCAAATATAAGCTCCTATCATACTCAATGCTATGGGTACCGCTGAATAGGACACCGTTGAATTCATAATTTCACGAGGGAGCTCACCGCTTTTGTTTTTCTTTCTAAAATAAACAAATCCATGATAAACATTTCGCTAGGCTTCAATAATGGAATGGTGGTAAGACTGTGGATCGATACGGGACAAATTGGAATTTGAAGATTTTGATATGGACACAATGACCCGGTTAGCTCCCTTGGAATTACCGAACCCTGTGTAAGCCAAAAATGTGCCATTTTCGAGATAGGTAAAGGGTTTGCAGCCACACAACCTCGCGTCAATTGTAGTGCTGCAATGTGATATATGTTTCATGTCATCGACTTGAGGTCCCTATGATCGAGAGAGTTTATATTTTTTTATCAAAGGTGTTTTTTTTTTTTGTTGGTACGCCATATCTTCGTCAATTCTACACCAAATTGAGCGATCATTTTGAAGGTTTTCTTCTATATTGGAAAAAATAGTCACATCGCCCACGAAATTTCAGGAAAAAAGTATAAAGAAAAAAAAACTTTATTCGCTCTACTAACAACTCAAAAAATATACACTTGTTTGTTTATCACAGCAATGATTATTTAAAACATTATTAAATTCCATACATAACTAAAAAATCATCGAAATTGAGCTATTAATAGCAAAGATACACCTTATTGAAATTATTGAAACATTTTGGTTCAAAACATGAATAAAGTTTTTAATTAATTTATAGTTTGGTAATTTGTCTTTATTTCAAACAAAACAGTAAAGAAACAACATGCAACATTTTTAAAAATGAGAGATTTATAAGAATCAATTTAAAAATATATGAAATTAAATAAAAAAAGTATTCCTATAAATCACGTATCGACAGGGAGCCTTTAGCGCTGTAGTCTCCCACTTCCTCCTTCCCTTCCCCCCAAAAAAAAAATAGAAAATCTTTTTATTGGTCAACATTGATTTTTGTGAGTGATCTAAGCTAAATACTAACACAATCACAACATGTTGTCTTTTTAAATTATAATGCATACACGGCTCCTAAATGTAAGTAAGAAGAAAATTTTAAAAATTAACTTTAAAAGCATTTTTAGTTATTTTTGTAACATTCCTTTAAAAATCACTTAAATATGATTAATCATAGTTTCTTTCTTTTTCTTCCAGGATAACTATCATCTTTATATATTATAAAAAGCCCCCAACCGCAAAAATCAATCCTAGATCCACTACTGTTGTAATCTATAAAGCAAGACTACTTCCTTCAGTAAGTCAACTTGCCTGAGTCAATCTTTTTGACCAATCTCTTTTCTGATTTAATCATTCTTGAAGTCAGTAATTAAAATTAAGTTTCAAGACATTGATTGATAGCATTTGATTGCTTGTGTTTTTATTTCAATAACGTAGAGAAGCTACCTTAAGTTGCAGAATCTGTATTGCTTTTGCATTATTGTAGCAGCTTAAGTTCATATACTATATCATCTGCCTAAACCAAATCCTATCCCAACTCTACATAGATTACAGTATTACATCTAAAACTATAAACCAGAGCAAGATGCAATAAATCCTTTAAAGATTTTGAAAACAATTCATAGAACCAGTTAAAAATGATTGACTATGATGTTTCACATCAAATAACAAATAATCATTGTTTACACTTTTTAAAAGCTGCATCAACCTTCAAACCAATTATCTGTTGCTGATATTAAATATTGCTCAAGTCCATAAAACTAATTATATTAATATAATAAATAAATATAATAAAAAAATTATTCAAGAATCAAGGGCGAGAATTAATAAACGACACAAAACATAAATATCAAATGTTTTTTTTTAAAATAAAACATTTTCAGAATAAAGCCTTTATATTTAAAAAATGACAAATTCTTAAAATAAATAAAAACAATAATTTGGATAGTTAAAAGAAATTTTATTCTGGTGTGTTTCCAATTAAACCTAGCATAAACATTATTATTAATATTGTTATTACTTATAGGGACTATTAATTCTGTAGTTTTATTAAACTATTAAACCAGGTATTTTAAATTGTAACGTTATATTTCATTGTTCAGTAATAATCCTTCAAAAAAATAAATTCATATTCAAAAATATTTCATAAACTTTTTTAAAAAGTGCAGCCAAATATTACCTTTAATTATATATTATATTTTATAAGCTATTATAATATTATAGGAAGATTTAAATGTACTAAAGACAAGTAAATTAATATCTATTCTCACCTAAAAGAATAAAATTATCATAAATTGGCTACACAAAATATACCAATTACTATAACATATCAATAGCAATATTAATTGCGTAACGAATGTATTTTTATACAAAATTGAACAAGAGCTGATGATCTTAACACTCTGTCACCCCCTCTAGAGTCTCAGTCTCTAATGACCCTCTTAACCCACTTCTGGAAAAAAAATCTACCCTTTAAAAATTTGTATCATTTTCTCCAAATATCTTATTTCAAATAAATAACAAACATCAATTTAAGGAAACATTGAACTAATAAAATCATTATAAAAATATCCCTATGAAATTATTATACATAATGTTCCTCGGTAAAATAATATATTATGTTTCTAATAATATTAAAATGCATCAAAGGGTAGTAATAAAGAAATAATAAATTAATACAAATCTAATCCCAAAACAGAATGATTGGTTAAATTATTTTAAAAATATTAATTTTTCAATTGGATTTCATTAGACCAAAAATATATTCCATAAATCTTAATTTTAATTTAATTTTATTTATTTATCTATAACTAACCAAAGCATACATTTGCAATCATCAGATAGGATTTTAAATTATTATCATATAATTTTTCTATAAAAAAAAAATATATATATATTCTAATTGGATAAATGTTGAAAATTTCAAAACCTTAGATTTAAGCTATTCAGCAAAATACAACTTGAACCTTATGTCAGGAGTGCTCAGAAGAGGGTTTCATGGCACAAGCTGTGCCGTAAAAATTGTTGAGGGTGGCATATTTTGACGGTTCTTTTAATTTTTGAGGGGGGCAAATTTCTCGACGGATTTATGAATTTTCAGAATAATGGACAAGGGTAACACATGGAACTGACCACAGCAAGTGTATTTATATATGATCTACAAATTTTTTAATTCAACCTTGGCTTGCTCTGTTTTGATGAAAGGAAAGCAATAAAAGATCTTGGGAGGAGGATAAGAGGTTAGGTTCTTCTGCCATCGACCTTGGCTGGGATGGGCACTCCTGCTTTATTTTATCAATCTCAAAATATATATATTTTTTTAATTATATATATGGCAGAAACCTTTTTAAATTTAACATAAAATTAGCTTAAACCATAATATTGATTCCCTGTTTAATAATTAAAAATTAACAGACAAACTAAATTTAAATTAAATAATATAGATAAAAATAAATATATGAGGAAAACACAAAAATTAGCATCCTAAAGCTTCATTTTAAATAATGAAAAACCCAGTAAACCATGACAAGAGTTATCAAAAAGAAAATTACAATATAAATGTCTCAGGTCAAAAAAAGACAAAATTTTTATAAAAAAGATATAATTATCTTCAGTTTTTCTTTAGTTTATCAAAGGATCCTTCATTAATATGATTTGAATAATGATGAAATTAACTTTCCAAATTAATTCTTCTTCCATCATGTTTTAAAATAAATTTTAAAATATTGAAAAAAATATTCTACATAGATACTTTTTACTGCTTGATATAACAATTAATGATGGGGAAATAATAAAATAACTTTTGTTATTGTATCTGAAAACTTTAGAGTGGCATAAAATTATAATATAAAAATCTGTTTTAACCGGTGTATTATCAAGGAAATAATTAAAATAGTAGAGGAAAATCAGTTTTAAAAAGTGCTAATCTTAAAGAATATAATTAGTTTTTTATGCAACTCAAAATCCAATATCTGATTATTGTTTAACATTTATATATTATTTTTAAATTAAAAGTTATTATTAAGTCACAAAGAACAACTCTGTCCTCTGAATTCAGTTATTTAATTTGCAGACATATAAATGTTCAATTTCATTGAATTACAGTCTTGTAAAAATACCATTTATCAAACATTTGATTAAAATGTTTAAATGTAAATAAATCTATTTATTTAAATTTAATATTAAAGGGCAAAGGCACACAAATTAATCCTTACTAGCTATAAAACAAAATATGATCCCAATACCAATTAAATACAAATCCTGTCTTTAAGTATTCATATTTAAATCTAAGATGTGATTGATTTTTGTCAGGTCAGAACATAAAACAAATACAAGAAATTTAAAACTACTTGGAGTTGTGAAAAAAAAAATAAATAATGGATAGATCAATTTATATTACTTGTAAATATAAATTGACATTTTCATTCAGTATTTCTTAATGTGTTTATTATTTGAACTGTATCCTATATTATTTCTATTCTTACTAGAAAATAAAAAAGTATATTCCACTGATTGTTATTACAACACCTCATAATTACTTAATAAATAATAGGCAGGCATGTTAAAAGGTTTGCTAAACTATTATAGATTAAATATAATTTTAGGAATATTTAACTTGATTTAAATTGGTAAGATTTATAGGTAATAATCAAAATAACATTATGAGAGAACATTGTAGTCAGCTGGTCTCAATTGAAATAAGCAATAAAATATAAAAAAAGACAAGGGATTTGAAATTTTATTAAAATGACAAAGAAATTGTGACTTAAAAAAATAATCAAGTTCATAACATGATATTTTGGAAATGATTTTTTTCTTTTTTTTTTTTTGTAAAGGATCATGGCCAAGAAGGTAATAAGATATTACTGACAGGCTGAGTGGGATGATAAAGAAAAAAATTCAAAAATTAAGAAACAAGCTCTCTCCTTATCATATCAAACAAGGTTATGTTATGAGGATAAAGGAACTTAAAACTTACTTTCCAATTATTTCACAGAGCTCATAAACATCGTCGAAGAGTATTTCGTCCTCTGCCATCCTTCACACAAGTTTTCTTCTATTGTAAAACTAAGAAAAAAACGACTTTATATCCTCTATTTGTTTCGTTGTGCTTCGTCCCATTAAGGGGGCAAACTAGTATCAGCTCACTACACTCATAAAAAATTGAATACTTCAAAACACCCACATATAATGAAAATGTCTTAAAACATTCAACAAACAGTATTAACAGAGGAGGTCCATGGGGGATTTTCGAAACCCGGTCAACTGGTGATTTATTTATACGTGCCGGAGCAACGTGTGAAGTCCAGAATGAACTTGGCGAGTTTTATTATGGTTTTAATGTATAAACTATTTGAGGGAGATATATTATACGATATGAGATTGAGTGACAGAAAGAGGTTGAGCACACTATCATAGCGGGTCGGGCACACAACTGATTACACCTGGCGGGAGGGGAGCGGTGGGGCGTGCCTTTCCAAACATGGCCGCCTCCATACCGCTCTCTCCCGCCTTAATCATTCAATAATAATTTATTCTTTTCCTGTAACTATGCAGTTCCATTTGAAAAATATTTAATCAGTCAAACTATGCCTTAATTATGATCTAATTGGTTAATTATTCATTAACGATTGAAACCATATCTGATTATTAGACCAAAATTACGACCGGTCGAAGAGAGACATTTCCCGGGTGCGTTTATAGAAACCTACTCTTTCTTGCTCCCCCCCCACGTTCCCCCCCTCGCTCCGGAAGATGTCAAATTAGAGTAGAATTTCCAGCTGTAGGAAACCCTGTTCCAATTTCAAATTAGAGATGGGCAAGTGGTTGTCTGTTTAAATTATAAGGATGAAATAAATTGTCAGGATTTGCAAAATTTCTTTAATGAGTTAGCCGAAGATTCGACCCAAACAAGTGGGCAATCATCAGGCCTGAAAATTAAACAATATAAAATGACATCAAAAAAATTAAAATTATAAAAGTGTAAGCAATTAAGAATAACAGTAACAAAATAATAGTAATAAGAAAAAAAAATATATTCATAGGAGTAAAGAATAAAATCAGAAGAATGATAGATATAAAAGTATAACAGATTTTTCTTTATTCTTATTACTTTAATCTTATTTATTTATTATTATTATCTTATGACTGATCTTCTTTACACTTTTTACTCTTACACTTTTATATTTATTATTTTTCTGATTTTATTTTATATTGTTTAATTTTTAGCCCTATGATGGCCCACATGATATGGTCAAAACGTCGGTAAACTCATTAAAGAAATTTTGACTGCGAATCCCGACAATTTATTTCATCCTCATTTCAAATTAGTGTTGGCAGACGTTTTACTTTTGGTAAAAACAGTCCTGTAGAACGCGTATTTCAATCATTAAGAATAAAAATACTGATAAGATCAACAGATGTTCTCCAGATCTAATTATTATAAAGCAGAATCACAGTGAATTATCAAAAAGATTGTATAACATTTTTTGACAGTTAATATAAATGGTGATGTACACCTGCAAAAATGTGCCTATGTAAGAAAATATATAAATTTGTAACTAAACAGACTATCTGTCATTATAGCAATAATTAATTTTAAATTTATAATTAGTATTATGTAATTTTATATGCTTCATAATATTACTGAGTTATAATACATACATACATTATCGGAATTAATATCCAGTTTATTAATTTTGTTAATAAAAATCTACAACGTTTTTAATTATAAGTATAATGTGTCAGAACTGTTTGACTGAAAAAATGTTCAAAGTCACCTTCTTCCAATTTAGTGGAAACCCTACTCAATTCACTTTGTGAAAAACGGTGACGGAATCGAGTAGGATTTCCAGGTTATTTTAGAAACAAGCACACAAGAAACCCTCATCTTATTCAATCTAGGCCTTTATGCAGAACTTGATTCACCAGAATATAGAGTTCTTCATTTATATTTTTTTCTCCAATAAAATAAGAGTTCAATCCACAAACGGATCCAGGATTTAATTTGGGAGGGGAGGGGACTTCAGTCCGAACGATTTTTTTTTTTTTATAGGTATGTATTACGATAATTACCTAGGGAAGTAAGAAAGAAACTAACTACCTATATGAAACGGTGTTTAGGTGATTATTTAAGTCCTATTAAATGTAATTAGACCAACATAATAATTTTAGAGATAATTTTTTTCATAAAACATGGTTATATTTTACCATTTTGGGGGGTTTCAGCCCAAAAGCCCCTCCCCCCTTCCCCTCGTAGATCCGCCTGCGGTTCAATCTATATTCCTAGTCGACTTATATTCGCATTCGGCCTAGTAAAGTTTAGGTTGGACCAAAATCGGAACTTAAGGTCATTTTGATGTTTATTTATTATAAAAAATAATAAATCTTCTAAAAAAAAAATTAAATAAATAAAGAATCAAATGAAGGATGTTATTTATTTTCTATTCTTTTTAATTTTTTTCAAACCGTTTTTAATTTCTTACAATAACATGAAGCTAGTTCAAATTAGTTTAGGCCAAATAATTAAGCTTAAAATTGTTCAATAAGAACTTTTTTAAAAACAACGTTAGAAGTGATAATGCGATCACTTTATATTTTTTTGGTTTGTATTTACAATCAGTACAGAGAAGAAAATCATTGAATTTAAGAACTTTGGAAGATTCTCCTTGTAGAATGGTAGATGTGGAATTGAAAACTGAAATGAATAAAAAGTAATTTATTGATTTCTCTTAATCAGTTTATTTATTAAACCACAATAAAACATGGAAATTGAATAATTTTTGTCATAAAGGATACCTTCGAAGTGATGGCTCAATCATTTAGATCCAGAGAAAGTATTTATTCAATCCTAAGACGTTAAGCAAACATCCCTTAAGTTAGAAAGTAGAATATGGCTCATATTTACTCCTCACTCGGATATTTCCAATCAAAAATTTTAATTTAAGCTAGCCCAGTAAAAATACTTAATTAGCTGAAAGTAGCAGAATTGGGTTAAAAAAAGTGGAGTAATTTTTATTTTCACACATGTACGTAGTGATCCCCTCGTCAAAAAAAAAAGTTTTCGACCACATACTCTTTATGCATTTTCCACCATCTTGAAAACAAACAAACGCTAAGAAAAAGTACCTTTTCCAGTTTTTGTCAGTAACTTGCTTTAAATAAATTTTTGGCAGAAAAATTAATTAACATTGGTAGAGAACATTAAATGTTTTGTAAGTAATGTGTTAAGAAATTCGAAACATTTACGAGACCGTTAACATTTGTAAAAACGCATCATCTCCCAAAAAAATAGTAAGTAATAACGCCTTTTGCGGAATTGCAGGAATTATTTATTTATTTATTTATATAAATAATAATTAATAAACATTATATTTCTCTTTTCAGTTCAGAAGCCAAGTACGCAATTGGATTAGTAATAAGTTATGTAAAAAAAGATTACCTATCGGTAAAAGTACAAAACATTTTGTTGCTAACCCGTCGGACGGGCCCCAAATAATCAAATATTTTGGGGGCCAAACGTACAAGAGTAATAGATAAAAACAAAACTATAATCTTCGGGGCCCTCAGAGGGAGCCTCCAATCATACGATGATAAAATGGTACAAAACATTTATGGTGGGGGCCTATTGGAGAGTCCCCAAAAATTTTAGGAAATAAACGAATACAAAATAATAATTTTTGGAGTACTAGAAAAATACCCGGCGTTCGCGACTTCAGTGAGCAGTGCTTCCTATGTCAGATTTTCTTGAATTTCTCCAGAGTTGTGGTATTTGTAGAGACTTGGAAAACATGAAATTCAACTGAGGTAATCAATTCGTTTTTAAATTAGATGGCTTTAAAGAACTCATAAATGGACTAAAAACAAAGAACGGCAAGATTAAAAATTGTCATAGAAGCTTTCATAATTAAGCTAAAGGTCTGGGATCGGGGTTTACAGCATATTAAATGCTTTTACTATACATGTGATATAACATTTAATGAATTAATGTAAGAAAACTGGTTTTAAAATCTAATTTTCTATTTCTGTAGGTTGAAATAAATATCATTTCATAATATTAATTAATAATATTTATTTCGAATTAAATTACCTAAAATAATTTCAAATTAGATTTTTTTTTTTTTTTCTCTTTTTCTCGCCTCAAAAAAAAAAAGTATTAATTAGATTTTTAGATTAGATTTTACAAATTAGATTTTTTTTTTTTTTTTTTTTTCTCGCCTCTACCCTAAAGGGCGAGAAAAAGAAAAAAAAAAAAAAATCTAATTTGAAATTATTTTAGGTAATTTAATTCGAAATAAATATTATTAATTAATATTATGAAATGATATTTATTTCAACCTACAGAAATAGAAAAATGACTTTATTCTTACTTAAAATACTTTTTCAAACTGTGTTGACGATTATTGGGGAATGAAAGAAGGAACTACAAAATGAAATGTTCTCAGAAAAAAAAACTTGTTTCGGACCTTAACGACACAATTTATCTATTGTATTTGTATCTCCTGAAACTTTGTAAGAATAAACATTGAAATGGAATAAGTCAATTATTATTGACATATTGACATAAGTCAATTCCGATTGACATAACATAACTGTGTGTACCACGAAAGCATTCTGCAGGTGGATGCTCTCTCTATCAGATATATGAGGGGCATCTGATTCATAGGATAGTATTTAAACACCCTTAGGAGTCACTGAAAGAAGAAAATGCAGTGACTCCTACTTTATCTAGATTACCTGATTTTAACTTACTAAGATAATGAATGGACGAAAAGCTCCTCAAAGAATTTCCAAATCAAAGAAAACGAATCTATTCCTGAGAGTAAAAATGGTTTTGAGTTTAAAAAATGGTTGGAGTCAGATAAAGACCATGTGTCCACTTAAAACAAACTTTTATTTTGAAAAGGCATTTAATTTAAGATAAAGAAGGAGCTTGCAACATCCCAAAAATAGAAATTAAAAGCAAAACCAAATATTTCATCTTTAAAACAAGCTTTGAAATTAAAAACCATATTTGGATAATGTAGTTCAGTTATGTATACCATTTTTATTAAACCTTAATTTTAAAATTGAAGAAAAGGATGGTTGGGGTGATCAGTCAAAATAAAATAGTAAAAATAAATAATTGTATTTATTTTTATATTCGCCGACGTTTCGGCCCAAAGTTCAGGCCTTCATCAGGGCTGAGAAAAGAACCAGATAACAGATTTTAGAATGATGGTAAGATGCACAACATAAGATAGTAAATTACTGGGATGGATAATATGGTGGAAACTATAAAAGATAGGGAAGAAATTAATATAATCATTTATGTTACCAATTTTGTCAGCTTTAATTTTACATTGAACATTATTATCGCTAGAACAAATAGATATAAGCTAATCACTAGTATAAATGAAAAACCGAAAAAAGTTAACTTTTTGAATCGTAAATTCAAATTTTCAACTTGAAATACACGAGT